TCTACACGGCACGTGTTCTTCTAGCAGCTTCTTCCATTGATTTTTTGTTTTCATGCCAAAACGACGCCGTTTCCATCAGACGAAAGTGTGAACAGTGATTTCAAAAGTCTCTTTTATTTGGTAGGGATTAACCTACTTTAAACATCTTTTTCTAATACTTTTTTTTCTTCTTATTTTTTGGCGATCTAGAAATATATGTTGGACCTCAATTCTGATTACTCTTCACTTTTAACACTTTATTATTGTGAGGACTGAGTTTAAATAAATCAGAATTGCACAAGTGTAAAGGTCTACAAATAATACAAATGAGTATTAAACTAGTACACACAAATTGCACATCTTGATTGACACTTCTTTATGTGTCAAAAATCTAGCAATTGATTAGAAAATGTGGTGTCAAATATCAATGTACCAAAATTTGTCAACTCATATGAATGTAAATTAATGTGTTAACATTTATGTACATGTTGCAAGATGCTATAAATTATTCTTGACGTGGACTCAACTACTTTTAAAAATAAGACAACATAATGACATATTAATTGTCCCTCGTACATGCCAATATTCGTTTGATCCACTCTCCCTTATTGTCCACAATGGCCAACCACGTAGAAGGCCTATTTTTTAGTTAAAGTTTTCAAATTGATAAATGACAAGTGATTGGGATAACATTTGATGATTTGGAATAAATAAGAATAAATTGAATTGCATAACACAAGAACTTGAAAAGAGTAATCTGTCTTAAGTTTTCTCCAATAATATAATAGTATATAAATTGTTTAATCACATTTGATTATTAAGATGAAGTTGAGCTATTAAATAAAATAAGCATTTTTAAGTTCGATATCCAATGAGAAGCATTCTGAAATTCAATGATCAATAGGGAGCGTTCTAAAATTTTATGAGTAATCCATGACTACACCCAATGTTGAGTGGGTGTTGAAACATTAACTCTGTTTCTTCAATATAAAGAATGTAACTTCTTTTTGACATGAACTCAACTACATTCACATTTAGTCAACATAAGGCACACATTTAAAGCATCTCCAATGATGCTCTAAATTATATATAAATTATAATTTAAATTTCCTAAGTGATCGAGAAACTCTCCAATAGATAGATGCAAAGGACATAAAAATTACATTTTCCAATGAAAAATGTAAAATAACATGTAAATTTACTTCTTTTTCAAATTTATAGAAGACAAAAAGATTTAGGTCTACAAGACGCTAGAAACTACTTGCCCACTTGCTCTATATCCATGTGACCTTGATTTTCACTCTTTAAAAGTCCGTTTGATTTTTTTTTTTTTTTTTAGGGAAATAAAGTTA